ATTTCTAATATATCTTGCAGAATAGATTGTATTTGCCGAAAAGTTGTAATAATTCATTATTATTATTATTGCTTTTTGAATTAATTGCACTATTTAAACCATCTAAAATATAAATAGTTGATTAATATGTATATATATAACATGTAATATATAGTAATGTAATTATTATACCTTGCTGCGAACTATCCAATAAATTTTCTATTGAATTTTGTATTAAATCTTCTTTCGAATTTTCTTTCAAATTATTTAAAATCTTCTCATAAGTGAGATATATGAAAGGATAAACTTCTTGTCGTTTAATACAATAAAAAAAAGATGGATTAATATCGAACGTAGAAGCTTGGACTAAATGTTTGCATAGCATAAACCAGTTTTTTAAAAACCCTAAACAACTACAATACCAATTTTCAGTATTTGTAAAATAAACATTATTAATTTTTGTTTTTTGCATTGTAATCTATTCCCATTTAAAATCTTTTCTCCATGAAAGTCTTTTACGACCATTAGAATATTTATTATATTGATATTGATTATAAGGAATCATACAGGTAAGAATAATATAGATTACTAAATCTAAGTGAGGACGAAAAAATTTTGGCAAGTAATTCTGTTTTATAACTTTCCAATAGGATTCACAGAGTATCGTTGTTCAAAACAAACAAATTTTTTCTAGAATTTCAGATCTTGTCCATAAAATTCAGGTTTCTTTTTGGTACCAATTATACTATAAATAGAACCAAATATGCCGTAAATCATTATCAACACAGAATTTATAAATTTCATATATTGATTGTCACTATATTTCTTGAGCTATTAAAAAATTTCTACTGGAATTAGGTATTAAAGGATGTAAAAGTATATGCTTTTCTACTATGTCAATAATTATAGCTCATTTTTCTTTAGGGCAGAAGTAAAAATTTTTTTTCTAAATTTCATTCATTATTGGGTAAAATTCGATATCAATAAATTCAAAAACTTGATTTACTGAATAAGAACTATATGTAATAGTTTTTGGAGACGTATTATCGGCAAGTCGTTTTTTTAAAGCTCTCTTAATATGCCACAAACAAATTTGTACTTTTGCATTTGTCCAAATTTTTTGTGCAGCTGAAATTTGTTTATAGTCCTTATCTGTAAGAAAAAATTGAACCTTATTCATTCCCAAATTATATAAGGATTCAAAAAATAATGTTAAAATTTCTGTTGCAATTCCATTTTTTTTTGTTTTTGCCTTCAACAAAAAGATATGCCATTGCAAAACCAGTACCGTCAAATTGACTGATAATTAAATAAAGTTCATACTCCAATGCATTGGTTTTGTAAGTAAAATCTACAATAATTTCCTTATTTTTCATTAATTTTTCAAAAAACAGAGTTATGAAACCCAAAAACTTGATTGTTTCATTACAATTGCTAAGTATAATTTTAAAGCCACTTTCATTTAAAAAAATCTTCGCTGAATTTAGTTGATTGTTATTATCACGTACATATTCTTTTTTGAGTAAAATTAACCACCATGCATGAACCTGCTTCTGTGTTAAATTAGGATAATTATTTTCTAAAATATGATATATTTCACTTGGACTAAGATGAATATTTTTTTTAATTTCTTCCTTAATTATTTCATCAATTCCAAATCGTTCAGGTCACTTATAAAGCATTGAATGCTTAAGATGAATCGATACATTGTTTAATCTTAGATTAAAAACAATCTTAATTTGTCCATTACAATCAAATCTATCAATTGGAATCTGATCTCTATAATTTTCAATACATTCATGCTTTCTAGGTTTTTTAGCAATTGATCGACATTGGGAACAATTATATCAAATTGTAAAAATCTTATCCTTTGTTGAAGAATAACAGTTCTTGTAAATATAATAATAACTATCTGCATCACCTAATGATTTAGCGATTGTTTTGGATAATTTTTGTGGATCATCATCATTCTCGTTAATATCAAGTAAAATATCACACTTAAAATTGATTTCTGCTGATTCATTTTCTAAGTATTCATTTGTATTAATTTGTAAAATTTGTTCATATAGCTTATTTGACATTTCTTTTTGCGATAAAAACTCAATTGCTGACTCAGATTTTTGTTTTTTTTTTATAATGAATAGAAGACTTGGAACGACAAGAATAGCATGTATTTAGTGGATCTTTAGTTTTAATAAACTCATGTGAAGGTAGGATTTTTTTGCATTTTGTACATTTTTGTGTGGCCATTTTTTTTTTTTGACGGATTAAAGAGAGACAAATAACAAACAAAAGAAAGATAATATGTATACGTATAACAAGTGATGTAATAATTACGACATTGCATAGCTGAGTTTTAAATCCGATACCGATATAGCATTATATAAAATAATTAAAGAAAATATCGCATTATTACACATCGATATAATTTTAGTTTTAAAGATTCTCACTAAATTAATCTTTAGTTCTCTTTAAATTTTGGGTCTTGGATTATTGCATTTATAGTACTTGTTATGCGAATTTCTTAATTTCAAAATAATATAACTAAATTATTTTTTTAAATACACATTATTAGAAGATAACTGATAATACAAACGTACGTACGTACGTATGTGCCAGATATAGTTGTATACGTATACTGTCGATCATTTTCTATCACGTGTTAATCCAGCAATCTGATTGGTTGGCACATCACATAGCGCAGAATTTTTCGGGGTGTTGTTGGGGTGGTTGTAATCTATATTACTAACCATAGGTGGGGTTTGAATATTGAAACCCCGACATCACGCGGCGCGACATTTAAGATTCGGGATTTTGATTTTCGGGATTTTGATTTGACTTAGACCCGGGTGGCGATACATCGCTATAGCGATAAATTATAAAGCCCATAAAAAAAAAAAATAATAATAATAATCAAATTTATCGGCCACCACACGAATTATATCCTGCAAATTAAACACAAACGAATATATGAAAAGTAAAATATAATTCGGTGAATGGTCAATCGTTTGAGATCCATCTAAACATCATTCAAATCAATGAAAATAACATCGTGTAGAGTTTTCTGCAGCTTCATATGCACCAGGCGTAAAGCAGTATTCCAACCGACGTAATTTGAAGTTATATCTTATTTTGGCAAAGAACACGGTGATGCCGATAATCAAACTATATACTATGTTTCCATGCTTTCAACCGGTTTAATTTAATCTGCTTTCCATGTTTAGGGTTGTCCAACAACTCCTTTTAATTCGTCGATAGTTGGACGACCTAAAAAAATATGTTTGGCATTTTTCTCACATTTTTTTCTTTTTAATTTTATGATTCTAATCATCAACCTAGCATTTTTTATTTTCAATAAATCTATTTCGAATAAATCTTTAGATTCATCTTTTTGAGTCTGCATATTTGACAATAATTTATATATTTTTATTAGAATTGTTCAGAAAAAAAATATTGTACACGTCTTGAAAAATGTTTTTATTAGCTGTTTTTAATTTAAATAAAAAAATCACATAACATCCTGACCAATGGTCAGGAACTCATCGATTACTTTTGCCAAGAATTTTTAAAAATTCTCGATCATATACAAAAGTAAACTGATTATATGTGCGAAATCGAGTCACTTGGCAAGCTTTATTAATATGGTAAAAAATAAAAATAATAAGAGTGTATAAATTAACGCAAAGGAGATGGTACAGTTGAACTATTTTTTAAATTTCTCATCGATCTACGTGGAGGTGTACTACGCAACAAGGACATATTAATAATTAGAATATTCCGCAGTATCAAAAAGTTTTTACAAATTCAGCCAGAACAGAAGGGCCATTGGAATAACGAATCGGAATTGTTGATTCATGCAACTTATAATAACGGTGAACTTCATGCTTGTCTCTAATAAGAACATTCAGAGACATTTTTAGTCCCGCAACCTGCAATCCAACAATCCCGAATTGGTCCTTTTCTGGCTTACGACTTTTAAGTCCAATACATTCCATCATTTGCTTC